ACTATTGATTTAAGCAGTATCTGCCTCAAATCATAAATATCTTCTATAAATCGATCATCTATATCTTCATTTTCATCATCTAATCCAGTCATTGTTAAATCAGCCAATATTGCATCAAAATATAAACACTGAGCCATTTCAACACGTTCGATAGAAAGAATATGCAGAGTCAAGTATTCTAAAAGTATATGATCAACAGTAGAAAATATCTCACTACTAACAGATGCAATCCCAACGCATGATGACAATGTCTGATACTCAAAGAAACAATTCCATTCAGCCTCCTTTTCTAATCGTGAGTTCAAGATCTTTAACAAATTGCATAAACTACCATTACTGTGTAATACCCTTTTAATGATACTATTGTATCTGTGTAAGCAAAAGCAAATTTTAATTGAATTTGAATTTTCTTAAGCATAGTAATAAAAAAAAAAAAAAACTTAAATTTAGTAGCAAGCAAACTCGAATTTAGTATAACGCAAAACATATTAGATAATAGCTAATCTTCTAAAATAAAAAAAAAGAATAAACCTCAAACTAAAATGCGACCTTAGTTAATATCTAATATGCTTCTAAAAATAAACCTATTCCCTAATTCTAACCCTAACCTAACTTAACTAAAATTTTTAATTATTCAAATTTACAACATACCCTTCCACCCGTGACGTAGTTTGGATTCCAGCAGTAAAAACTTTAGATGTAAAGGCACAAGCCCATGAATGCCGACTAGGATAAAGAATTCGAGTCAAATAACTTGAGGCAGATGGATTATTTTCTAGCAAATTTTGCCATTTTGATTCAAATAATGTTTCGTCCAAAGTATTACGACATTAGAAAAATTCTTTGATAAATAAATCATAAGTATTGCCTAAAGTTGCCTTTAAATTTTTTGAAATATTTTGACTGATGTGATAAATACAATGTAAAGAATTAGTATTTTTGTATACTTGTTTTAGTGCACCATCCATCGCTGGGTCTGCATCCGTAACAAAAACTATAGGTTCAACACCCGTAGCTTTCAAGGTACACTGGAGGATCCATTGGTAAGAGTCTACTGTTTCATCAGAAATTAACACCTGTGCCACCAACCGAGATTTAGTGTTATTATTTACTATAAGAAACAAGCTAAGTGGCATTTGATATTGATTCGTCTTTGATGTATTATCATTAAGGATGAAAATGAAGATATAGATGATCGATTTATAGAAGATATTTATGATTTGAGGCAGATACTGCTTAAATCAATAGT